TTAGTGAATTTTTTTCCATGGAATCAAAACATTTTCTGTTACACTCGGAGAAAAATAAATATTTTCTTTTCGAATTTAACTATGCACGGACATTTAATACTTGATCACATAATATTTTCGACACATCTCCCTTTGGTCACATTCCAAACATAAACCGATAACCTCGCAAATAGTGCATAACCTACCTTTATGTCCGAGGTCCGCATATGAATATAGATATGGCGGGATGAAATTCGAATTTTCGACGAGAGAAAACAAAATAGAACACCGAGTCGATTTTCCGTTTCATTCTAATAAGTGATTTTACGTGAAGAAGAACACTTTCTGTGGTTCTCCATAACAACATCACAACCCACATTCAAATGCACTGGTGGCAACACTTCAACGTTGGATATGAAGCTCCAGTTGGACCGGCGCTGCCAACGTTACAACTTGATTCTCACACTTTATAGTGTGAATCGCGAGAATGTGAATATCAACTTGTTGCTATACGCCTATCTTTTTTACTGTTAATCCAAAAAATACTATAGTTACACCGTTGAAAAGCTCATAGGTGATTTATATAATGTAACTAACGACACTTTCCCGATTTGTTGTCCCGTTTTCATTATACCGAATGTAAATCATTTAGAGGTAGTGGAGGGGAAAGTTCTGTCGTGTATAGATACGCGGTACTCTTGGCCTGATGTTGTGCTCAGTCGGTCAAAACTTTTCTTGGCCGATACGCTACCGCGTATCTCGATAATTTTTTAGTCCTTGTAAAAATTGAAAATTTGGTTTCGAAAAGATAGGTTCAGATGACTCAGAATCATCTGAAAGGTGGAGATTTCATATCCCCTAGGAAAGTGTTTATACGACCTTTTGGCAGAAATTTTCGAGAATATAGAAAAAAAATGTTTATACGACCTTTTGGCACAACTCACGCGACATAAGAGTAAAAATCCAAGTTTCAGAATTTAAAGATCACAAACGTCGAATTCTAAGGGTCATAAGGGTCGAAATCTAAGAGTCGTAAGGGTCAAAATACAAGGGTCTGAATACCGAAATCAAAATCCAAAGTTAAGAATTTAAGGGTCACAAGGGTCAAAATCTAAAGGTCATAAGAGTCAAAATATAAGGATCTGAATATAAGGATCATATTTTGAGGCTTCCAATTTAAGGGTCACAAGGGTTAAAATTTACGAACCATAAGGGTCAAAATACAGGTGTCTGAATATCAAAGCCAAAATCGAAGGTTCAAAATTGTAAGATAGCAAGGGTAAAAATTTGAGGGTCATGAGAGTCAAACGACAATTGTCTGAATATCAGGGTCAAATTTAAAGGTTTCCAATTTAAGGGTCACAAAGGTAAAAAACCAAAGGTCAAAATACAAGGTCAAAATATAAAGGTCAAAATCTACGGCTCAAAATCTAAGGGTCAAGATTAATGGTTAATTTAATTAGTAACTCAATAAACCATTAATTTAATGATTGAGCAAATTTATATATCAATTTACTAATCAATCGATAAATTGATTCATTAATTAATTAACTTCCCGACCCGAAGGGAGCAAGTTATTGTAATGACCCCGAAAATCGAATGTGGAATTTCGATGATTTCTCGACATTTCTCGACCTCCGGAATCATCCTGATACATTTTTGAAGACATGTCTGTACGTTTTTTTTTTCTGGTTCATGATTGGAAAAATGCTTTTTACGCACTAACATACTCCAGACTGATGGTATGAGGAATGTAGTGTCCGAATCGGTCAGGTTTAGATGGTAGCGACCACGAGCACCATGGTTTCCATGTATTTGCTGGCGAATGGGCAATCCCTACGGACTACATAACCAAACATGATACCAGTAATCTTTGACCTTTTCTTTCCCTCGCGGCACCACCGTTAGGTATTACGTCACGAGGGAGGTCTCAGCTGTTTGCTCTTCCTCATTCCAACCTTATGTACGTCCTCCTAGCCTACAAAGGTGTTGGGTGTAGGTAGGAGGTTCCAGTAGGTTTCCCGCCTGTGTTGCAGCCTTGCGCTCGCGTTCCTCTTTCCTGAGCTCTTTTATGACTTCAGGCGCAAAGTGACTCGTTGCGTCCCGAGCTGCCTGCGATGATAGAAATACATCCGTTAGATTTTCAGGCAGTACTTCCATTTTTAGTGTGGACACCCAGATATGCCTGGTCTCACTAAAACGCGGGCATGCGAAGAACACATGCTCCGCATCATCATCCACTTCTGGGCAGGTTGGACATTTCGAGGAATCTTCATGTTTGAATTTATGAAGATACGCTCTAAAGCATCCGTGCCCCAAAAGCATCTGCGTCAGGTAGTAGTTCACGTCTCCATGGCCGCGATTCAGTCAGACATCCACCTTTGGGATCAGGCGGTAAGTCCATCTCCCCTTGGTGGAGTTGTCCCACTTCAGCTGCCATCGCCTCAGGCTGTTTCGCCTCTCTTCACACGTCAACTCCTCGGGACTCAGCGCTTCGGATCTCCTACGCTTATACAGGGCTTTCCGCTCCTCAGCCAGTACTTTTATCGGCAACAGTCCTGCGATGACACACGCTGCATCCTCAGAAACCGTCCGGTATGCACTTGCGACTCTAAGGGCACTGAGTCGATAGACTGGTGCGATCTTACGTCGCGCTTCCTGCAGCTGGAGTACATCCCCCTAAATGGGAATAGCATATGTGAGCACCGAAGTTATCACTGAAGACAACAGTGCTCTTCTTCTCTGCTTGGGTCCCCCGATATTGGGCATGAGGCGTGATAAGGTGGATCTAACGCCAGACGCCTTGGCACCCACTTGCTCCGCTTGTTGCTTGAAGTTGAGTCGTGCATCTATCATCACCCCCAGGTATCGAATGCATGGCTGGGAGGTAATTTCACAAGACCCGACTCGCAGCGTGATCGTCTCGATTTTTTTCCTGCTAGTGATCAATACGGCTTCTTGATCACACGACTTCTTGTCTTGTGCTCCGCAAGGTTTAGGCCTACAGAGTCCATCCATTTACGGATCGTCTCAGTCGTTGTATTGAACACACGGTTTACCTGCTCCAGGTATTTCCTAACAATGACTACGGCCACATCACCTGCAAATGCAACGAGCTTAGTCCCTTGTGGCAGTTTCAGCTTCAGAAGCCCATCGTACATAATGTTCCATAGTAGAGGACTGAGCCTTGAGGCACTCCCCCTGTAACTTCATAATGCTTGGAACCACACTCCGTGTCATACTTGAGGACCCTTCCGGTGAAATAGCTGTCAACCATCCTCTGCAAGTAACCTGGTACGTTCAGCCCTACAAGAGCCTTCATAATGCAGTTCCACCTGGCTGAAATGAAGGCATTCTTGATATCCAGTGTTACTACTAAACAGTACTCCTTCGTGCCATTGAGTCATCTTTCCTCTGCAATCGCTTTCTTGGCGGTACCGATGACAAGGTTGATGGCATCTAAGGTTGATCGACCTTTTCGAAAACCATATTGATTCCCAACTAATAGGGGTTCAACCGTGGCTTCTATCCTTTGGTGGACGATACGCTCGAGAATCTTGCCAGCGGTATCGAGCATACAGAGGGGACGATATGATGAGGGGTCGTCTGGTGGTTTATTCCCTTTTGGGAGTAGTACTAGTCTCTGGTGCTTCCACGTGGCTGGGAAGGTGCCCTCTGTCAGGCATTCGTTGTACACTTCCAGGAACAGCGCCGGCATCGCGTGGATAGCTGATTTCAGAGCGATGTTTGGGATTCCATCTAGACCAGGAGCTTTGATGTTACCCACTCTGTTACAGGTTTCCATCAGCTCTTCCTTGGTGATTCGTGGAGCCATCATCCTATCTCGCTCGCCAGTATGGTATAGTTCTGGTTGGTGTGGAAACAGAACCGCGACATTTTCCATCAACAGTCCAGGACACCTTGGTAACGGCATTTGTTGACTTTTGAGGCGCATCATCACAACCTTATATGGTCTGCCCCATGGGTCATCTTCCACCTCAGCAAGTAGCTTACCCCAAGTTTGCTTTTTACTGCACTTGATTGCTTTGCTGAGTTTACGGCGTGCCTTCTTATACCTCATCCTTAGTTCTTCCGAGTTCGGCTTCTTCCGGCTACGCTGTTCCAATCTCCTGGCTCTATTACACTCCTTCCATAGGATGGCAATAGTTTCATTCCACCAATATACCGGTGGAGGCTGGTTTGTGGTCCGCTTCCTGGCCATGGTGGCATCGCATGATTCTGTCACTCTCTTCATGATGTTGTGTGCCTTCTCAGTATCATTGTTTCCGCTAATCGGGCGATTATACAGTGCTGCTGAGAAAGTGCTCGAATCAAAGGTGCTCACTCTCCAGCCAATACAGTTGGTCTTTTTAGTCCTTAAGGCGACTCTCTTTCGAGTACATGTCTCCCAGATTATCGCACGGTGGTCGCTGGCAGTGTAGATATCAGATACTCTCCATGAGTAGTTCCTTTTTGCAAGGCTGCTATTCACGAAGGTAAGGTCCACAATTGAGCTCTTCTCTCCCCTCACGAAGGTTGATTCATCACCACTATTCAGCAGAACCACGTCCAACGATGACATGGCTTCCAGTAAAGCTTGTTCTCTGGTGTTCGTCCTCTTACTCCCCCAATCGACTGCCCAGGCGTTGAAGTCACCGGCTATTGCCAGGGGGAAATGCTGCTTCGCATCCTCGATCAGTCTATCTAGGAAGTCCGTGAACTCATCAAAGGAAAGACTTGGCGGGGCATAGCAGCTGTAGTAATGAATTCCATCAACCTTAGCCTTTATGAAGCCCTCTTGTTTGCTATTTCCGGTGATGCTCTGAAATGAATGATTCCCACAAGCCCAGATTACAGCCTTCCCACTGGCGTCAGTAATCCAGCATTGAGTGTCAAGACGTCGATATGGCTCCGAGATCATGACGAGGTCAAGTTTCAGCTCCCGCACCGTTTGCGTGAGCAGATCGTGTGCGTCCTCACAGTGATTGAGGTTTAGCTGTAACACCTTGCGGTTTTCCCTCCTATGGTCGCCTTTTGCTGGTCAGCTTCTGGAGTGCCTCCTTGTATGCTGGGCATCTACTGCTACCAGCGACATGGGCACAATTCTTTGTACTGCCATTTTCACTGCAAAGGGCACATAGAGGATCATTCTGGCACTCCTTGGCTTGGTGGCCGTTCTCTGAACACCTCACGCAGACCTTAGATCGGTCAATTGCGCTTGGACACCTGGTGGCGAGGTGTCCGTAGTGCCAGCACTTGAAGCACTTGACCGGTTTCTGCACTCTTCGGATACGGCAGTTCACCCAGCTGATCTTGATCTTCCCATGATCATCCTCCCCCAGGATTTTCTTCACGGCAGCTGCCGTGAGTGTCACCGAGGCAGTTTGGGTTCCTCCATATGCCATACGTAAGGATCTGACGACCTCAGAGCCTATTTTATGCTCCTCACCTACTACTTTACGTAGGGCTTCAAGAACATCTTCCTTTTCCCTCTCCAGATCGAGGTCTTTGGTCTCGAGCTCTTCCAACGGCTCCTTACTCAGTATTTCAGCTTTCTCTCCAAGGAGATCAACAATGGCTGACGGTAACTGGGAGCCCTCAACGGTCGTCTTCTTGCTCAAGATGATTAGCATGTCTCCTGTTGTTGTACGTCTGATCTTCTCGACGCATTCACTGGCCTTCTCGCAGGCGCTGTCCTTCTTAACCCGCCTAAGGATTTCTGCGTATTTCTCCTTTTCCTTTAGGTGAATGATCAGCGCTTTCGGCCTGACCGCCAACTTTTTCTGAGTCTGCTTCGGGTTCGGGTTTCCCCGTAGCGACTTTGAAGTCGGGTCACCTTTCTTCCTTCTTTGCTTCCATTTCTGCCAGCCTTGGTCTTCCCTGGCCTCATCCTCGTTAGACCTATCTTGTTTGGTCTTGCCCTTGGTTTACTTGTCCTTGGCAAGCTCCTTTGAGAAAGGTTCATTCCTCTTCGACTCCCTCTTCTGGTGCGGTGTCGTGACCCGTTTGGGTGGGCTCGGAGTCTTCTCTTGCTTGGACCTTTTGAGCGAATCGGAATAGGTTCCAGGCGATTCCCCATTTCTCTTCTTTTTGTCCACAGTGTTTTGAACAACCTGCTCTTGGGACGTCTTTTGGGATCCTGCATCCTCCACCATCTCTTTTGGTATGGCTTCATGCGTCGATCTGAGCCGCTTAGCAGAAGCCTGGATACTTCTTGCGAGCCGGCGAATACCTTCATTGATAGTTCGCCTAGACTTGTCTGTTACCTGTAGTAACAGGTCTTCGATGAGCTTTTCGTGGCGATCCCATGCCTGCTTGTGCTCCATTCCTCCATTTGGAGCACTGAGCTCCGTCCCCTGCTGGGTCTGAGACCCTGCTCCACTTGATGCATGAAAGGCCAAGTGGTCCACCTTTAATGAATGTGATGATTGGCTCCTCCCATAATCCATGAAGCCGGCATCAGAACTGATGGCGGGATTCTCCTTGTTAAGGCTACCCGCATGGGAACTTTCAATTTTTTCATCACTCATCATCTTTGTACTAGCTGTTATCGGGAGCCTGACCCGGAGGTGTTTTAGGGAGCCCACCCTGCACACCGCTTTTAGAGTTGGGTTTCTCGTAAGGTGTTGGTTCGCGCCGACGTATTTTATTTAGTCGATACCTTATATTCTGAACGGCAGTTCAGAATATTGAGCATTCCCCCATCCACCACCTGGGGACGCGCCACGTTGCAGGACCTCCTAACCTGCGAAAACTCTCGGAGGGTAAAGGCGTTCCTCGCCGAAAGGATTCGTGGAGACATGTCTGTACGTGTGTGTGTGTGTGTGTGTGTACGTATGAGACCAAAATTTTGTCCAACGATATCTCCTGAACGAATGAAGCGATTGATTTTTTTCTTCCTTTAAACGATGCGTGTTCATGTGACTTAGAACTGATTAGTTTATCAAAACAATTGACTCAGCGGTTTTTTATATATCCGCATAAAACTTGTAAAAAAATGCCAAAAAGGGTTAATTTCATAGAAATTTGACCATTTTACCTAAGGTAACGATGGGATTTGAATTAATTTTGTGTAATAACTTGATTCTCACTGGATTTTAAGCGAAATACCTTTAAGATTATAAGCAAACAACCCCTCAGTGGCTGTTGAGTTTTTTAAATAAAACTTTCAAATTTTGCAATTAAAAAAAGGGAAAGTTGGGAAATTTTAGAGTGGGTTAACTTTGAAGTTGGAAAATTTTGAAAATTTTGAATTTTGAATTTTGAAATCGTGTGATTTTGTGCCGTTGGTTAATCGTTCGTTCGATCGTTAATTCATGCCACTTGCGAATGAATTTCGTTTCACTAGTGCACTAGTTTGTCATTAGTTGATTCACTTTGTTGAACCCGTTGGGCTCGTTTTGGTTTAAAGTCAAAATGACTCGATAAAAGTTGGATTTTTTGTTAGAGCTCGATACACGCTTCAGTGTCGGTTTTTGCTAACTGACTCCATAGCGTCCGTCGACATGCGTACACCCCGTCGAGCGAGAAGTGCTTGTCAGGTGCTACCACCATTTGCCGCCTACCCATAACCATCGGCGCGGGCACATACCAGCGACAACGGCACCTGTAAGGTGCTGCCGTCGCTTATCACCAGCATGTGAACGCGGCCTCAAACCTTCGCATTTGTTACGATGTAACACTGTGGCATGACCCCAGCGTTTATTCAATCTGCGAAGAAACTTTCCTTCTATGGGTATTTCCCCGGAGAAATTACTTATTAACTTCCCCACCTGAAGGGAGGAAGTTATTGTAATGACTCCGAAAATCGAATGTGAAATTTCCATGATTTCTTTACATTTCTTGGTCTCTTGAATCATCCTGATACAATTTCGAAGACATGTTTGTATGTGTGTGTGTGTGTGTGTGTGTCTATGTGACAGAAATTTTGTCCAACGATATCTTGTGACTGAATGAAGCGATTCCAAACTTTCTTTTCTCAATCGATGCGTGTTAATGTAACTTAGAACTGACTAGTTTATGAGAAAAATCCACTCAGCAGTTTTTTGGAAATTTGCATAAAACTCCTGAAAAAATGCCAAAAAGCATTAATTTCATGCAAATTCGACAATTCTCCGTGAAATAACGATGGGATTTGCATCAATTTTATATAATCAATGTTTCTTCATATGAGTTGATTCTCAGTGGATTTTCAGCGGAATCGTCTCAGCGGTAGTTTATTTTCTTAAAAAAACTTTGGAATTTTGCGGTTTGAAAAAAGGGAAAAGTTGGAAAAAAAGTTCGAAAAGTTTGGAGTGGATCAACTTTAAAGTTGAAAAATTTTGGAATTGAAAATTTTTCAAATTTAAAGTTACCTCACTCAAGTTGAAAACCAATGGGAGCGAGCGAAGCGAGCGACCAACAACCTAGACTAATTTTTTGTAATAGAATTGCAACGGATTCATTCGGAAGCATACCACCAATGGAATTGGTAGAAATAAAGGAATGTCAAGACTTATAACGCGTAAAGTAACGGTCACATGCCTTCTGTCGGATAGGCTCGGCCCCTGCGTGTTTTTCTAATGAACAGAAAACGAGGAATCGGTCAGGAAATTATTGGTTCGACCCATAATGGGTCACGCCCAATTCCACCAATCCCTACCGGTCAGACCCCAACGAGGGAGCCAGCGAAGCGAGCGACCGGGCCTGAGTTTTTATCGATTGATTAGTACAGTTTCATCTAAGACTCTAAATTGGTCTTACATTTTCCTTCTTAATCGTTGTATCGATCTTACATTGGCAATCGGTCTTACATGTCACCGAACTTAAACCAACCAAGTGATCTTAGAATCAGACCCGTTTCCGATCTTAAAGTTGCGATCTTAAAATTGAAGATCGGAAAGGGATCTTATTCCTATGATCAGACTCATGAACGATCTTAAAATGTGTACACGGAGAGAAAAGTCAGACAATTTTTGTGGGGAAATTCCGGGAAAAATTCTAGTGCTGCACTAGAATCGAGGCGCAATGTGTCAGCACATGAAAATTTCCCCTTCGGCACTAGAAAATTTGACGTTTCATCACGAAATCTTCTTCATCGGCAAACGAAAAATTACTCGACAGACAAAAAAATTTTCCCCGGCCACAATTTTTTTTTCCCTTTAATTATTCATTAATAACATCAACGTTATTTAAATTAATGTACTACAGTATCAACAAAAATGAGCATTAAGCCAACGAATTATTTTTATAGATTTTTTTTTATTGCATTTGTTCCACGATTACAGAGAATTACATTATCTTAAAACGTCATCACTGAATAATGTCAGTAATTTTCAACAATTTCTATGACCAATTGTTTCACACTTTTTTTTCCCACAAATTTGATATGGTTAATCAGACTTTCAGAGAAAAATAAGCCCAATAATCCCTGATTATCACATAATTCTGCAGAACACGCGCTAACGTTACCCGACGTTGAAGACGTCATTTGTAAGTCTCCACTCGGGACTCCCGAGTGCAGCTGTTCGACTCACTTCGGCGAGCCGAACGCTGTCGATGTCGCGCGGACACGTACGAGGATAGGAAGAATGGCAAAAGTTCTAGTGCTATTCTAACACTATAAAAATTCTCCAACTGCACAATAAAATTTCTAATGTTACCAAGAATTAATGAAGTTTTTCCCACAATTTTCTACGGAATTCCCCACAAAATTGACACCGGGAAATTTTCTAGTGCCAGTTCTAGAATTTTTCTCGTGCTTCATTGCAAAAATTGATTAACTTACAGCAAAATTTCCGTGCTGATCTAGAATTTTTATTCTTATTTCGATTAAAATATGGGAGTTCGGCAGTTTGCGCCTCGTTTCTGGTGCCGAGCACTGGAATTTTACCCCGACTTTTCTCTCCGTGTAAGATCGCATGCATGTTAAAATCGGAAATTGGTCTGATTTTAAGAACGTTTATTGGTCTTACGATCTTGGATCTTAGTTTCAGACCGCTCGTAAGACCGTAGTTTTTGCAGTGATGACATTAAATTATTGTCAGAAAAAAAATTGTCTTTTTACAGTTGTCTCATGACATTGATCTATTTATATTTGTCCCTTGAACCATAATAGTCGTCTCTTGACATTAGTATCGAGATTCGGAGCTTTCGATATTTATCTATAGTCATTTGTTGTATGAATTGCATAAGTTAATAAATTGATAAATCAATCAATCAATCAATTGATGTATCAAGAGAGCCGTAAACCACTAATTTTATGAATTAATGAATTCCTACATCGATAAGTTAACGAATGAATGTAGCTGTAAGACAATGAATTAATTTTAATGAAAGATCCGGAAATGATCTTATATTTTGGATCTTAATCGCTGCGCACATCTTATATTCGCAAAGTATCTTACACCTCACGTTCTTAAATCACCTTTCGGATCTTAGATTTAGATTCTACTCGGATCTTGAATTTTCAATCTTAAAATTCAAGATCGTGTTATCTCAAAGGTGATCAATATCCCAAGGCAATTTAGGAATATAACATGAAACTAATCACTGACATAAACTTGACTCTTAAACCGAAATGAAATTTGAAGAGATTCAATTTTAAGTAAAAACCGTAACTCGAGTAAATTACTCTTTATAGAGTTAGTTAACAAAACTAAATTTCAATTTTTAATAGAAACTTCAAAAGAACTTGTTGGAGGGAGTCCAGTCTGGACCTTCGTCGAGTTAAGACGTGTTTTGAAGTCGCTCCGTGAAATCTTACCAGTGTTTACTGTGTGAATTTGTATCTCGGATAACGAATAATATACGAGTTTAGCCCAAACGAGGGCGGCTCTTGGCTGTTTGCCACTAGATTTTCTCCATTCATCGCGGGGAAAATGACAGAAGCAATGGCAGGCAACGATGCAA